GTGTGTGTGTGTGTGTGTGTGTGTGTGTGTGTGGGAGGATGAAGTGAAGGTCTGGGATGAGAAGAGGAACGAACTCCTTCCTCATCCCTCCTTCCATCCCGATCCCCGATACACTCTCAACTTCTCTTGGATCGATGGCCGGATGAATGAAAATATATATCATTGCATTGCAGTGGCACTAGAGGAAGAACGAGCACTACATTTTTATTTCATATCATTTCATGTAAGGACAACTGCTTCTTCCCCTTTTCCCAAAAGTGACACGTCCATTTGACGCTCACACATCTAGGTATAAAGGACATTATACTAAATACACTTAATCAGATACTTCTTAAGAGGGAAAGTGAAAAAGAAGTATTAAGGTTTAAGTATTACAAAGATATAGCAATGAAATGATTTGTCTCGTAGTACTGAAAGTTATTGAAGCTTTCTGCAAAGGTCACGTAAGATAAATTAATTTTACTTAGTATAATTCTATAATGAAACTGAAAGATGCTGTATGACAAGTATATATCAGGAAAGGTACCGGTCTAAACGAAAGCTACTTTACCTATGTAAGTAACTTGAAAATCGATTTCTGGATTCCTGTTTATAAAACAGAATAATGCTTCACTTATTGTTAAAATCACTGCATACTACGAAAACAAGACGTAAAAGATAAAGTCATATAAGAATTTTACGAAAGAAAAATTACAAAGTTTTCCCCAGTTGACTGCTGGGTTAAAGTATTTTTCAATTTCATAGTATTATACTGAGTAAAATTAGTTTGTCTTACGTGATCTGCATGCAGATCACTTTTTACATGATTTTTATATGAATGCGCATTCGTTTTCGTCAAAAATTCCAACACCAACGATACCCTATCGGATGAACGAAGGGCTGCAATTCCGAAATGATTAATAAGTTAAAAATTTATTACACAAGAATCCATGTATAACTAACAAAGAAAAAACTTATAAACTCTGTACATAAAATGTTTTAACACACAATTTACAAAAAGCTAAGCATGATGAATCAAAAGAAGCAAAAACAGGATCATAGAATAACAGACATACAAGAAGATCATCACAGATCATCAATAAACGGGCCATATTTTCATTAAACGATTCGACCATCGAATACGGAAAAGTCTAGTCCGCTTCATAAGTACTACAATTGAATCCCATTTCAGAAACTTCAGTGGAGGAATAATCTGGGATATTTCTAGCTTGAAGACGATATTTCATTTCAACCAGAAATATAAACTTTACATATTTTTGATTGAAACGAAAAAAAAATTGATTTGGAACAGGATAAAAGCTACTACTTGAGACAAGAATCAAGAAAATTTAGGCACCAGTGCTACAAGTTAATATTGATAACAGACTCATCGCAACTCAAATGGCTGGATGCTAATTCAAATCGGAAATCCGAAATTTTGGAGGCAGCTTCCATAATATTTCGCTCTTCTTCTGACAAGTGGTCGTTCAGTTTATACAAAGCATACAGAATTTCTAATTTTTTGCTTTAAATATTTCGTCTGATATCTTTCGTAACCGATGCTCGGTTTCCACCTAAAAATTAGTTGGTCACGCATACGCATCACATTGCATCATTAAATCAAGCAATCCCTCAAATATTCAAAATTTGATGACCACACACGTGCATCCACATCGCATCGACTAACCAAGCAATCGCTCTACTCTACTCTCAAGATCTTAAACTGGATAATCATACATCATTTACACACATCATCAAACAATCTCTCGAATGTTTCATCCTCGATATCCATGATATTCCTTCCTTCCCTTCTCCACTACCGGTGATTCAAACACCTACACGAGTTCTATCCCACTTTTCTTTGAAGTTCTGCTACAAAATTAACCTGCATTAGTTTCTGTCGAAGTAAGGCAGGTTCTTTTTTGGCAAAAATTGCCACAATTTCTGGCGTTTTGAAGGCTTCACTGATTGCGTTCTGGATCGCCTAAATAAAGGAAAAAAGAAACAGATAGTAAAATAAATAAGTGAGAAAATAAATTGCAATAATTATTGGAGAACAAACAATCCATATTGTGTTCCAATGAAGAATTGATAAGAAACAGACCTTATGCCAAGCAAAATTCCAGCATTTGTACTAATAATTACTTAACTTTTTAATTAAAAATGTTCGCAATGAAATTACCATTTTTGTAGCAGTCAGCTCATCAATTAATGAAACATCACCACATTTCATACGATCCAATGTTCGTTCCAGTTCCGGAAAAACAATTTATCAAGTCGAAATTTTGCAGTGATTTCTGTGTTTAATTTTACCCAAAAGCAAAACTAAATGAAATAGAAACTCGCTAAACTAAAATGAAAATGTGCACGGTATAAAGTTAATTAAGTCTGGAAGGTAAAGGTTACTACCTTCAGTTGTTCCACTGTTTCATTTTTCATTTCCAGATATTCATCGTTATCCAGTGAATCTCTAAAAATACAGCATCTCATATCTGGTAATAGCATATACCTACAAAATACAATTTTTACAGACTATACTAAGGTAGTAAAAGCCTATGAATGAGATAAAACTGATTATATTGCATAAACAGGCAAAATCTGAGTTGAAATTTGCATGTAATAAATCAACTTCGAGATTTCAGACTGAATACTTCCAGCAAAAATTCTTACATGCCTTTCTCTCCTTCTTGAAAGTCCATTTTATGAATTAGTTCATTTACAGATGAGCTAATTCATAAAATGGACTTTCATGCCTGTGTTTGCAATGTATTCGCATACAGCTGAAAACCTTACCTTTCGTGTTCAATTTCAGATAGTTGCAGCATAAGACGATCCAGCTGACTTCGTATATTCGATATCAACTTCGCATCATCACCACCCATTCAGTCCTGTAATTTCATTTCAATCTAATGGAACACAGCAAAATATGATCATAACAACTACGGTAGTTAGGACAGTTACTTTTTGAAATTCTTAACCGATAAAATTTCCCACTTTATAATTTGGCAAGTACTACTGTACCACTTATTCTCCAAGTAATAAGGCTTTACATCAATGACAAGCTAGTAAAGAAGCACCATTTGTCACCCACTGTTTTTGAGATAGTTTGATTCATTTCATTTATCTAAATAATTGATCATCTTTTCGAGTTCTGTGCAAAGTGCATTTGAAATTGACCCACTTCTCTAGAGATATATCCCAAAACTGACCCTCACACCGCGAGATACATTCCCTAGTAAATCTCTTTTCTCCGGAAACTTGTTAATGGATTAGTGTTTGCCGTAAAAACAAGTATTCAGCGGTTCAGTCTCAGTGGATATTTTCAACTAGATGCAAGTGACATGTCCGTTGGTTTAGTTGACACCGATGAACGGTGCTCTGAAGGGTCGTATTACTAAATTTATTAGATTAATTGTGTTTTGAATGTATGTTGGACCATGTTATATACGGTAGTCGTCAATCTGAACAGGTCAAAAGGTCAACCGTGCACCCGTGCACTGACGGGTACAAAAGACGAAGTGTTCCTTCAGTGTTGAGTTTTTTTTTCTTAGTGGTCGCTTTTCATTATATTGGTTATGATTTCTAGGCGTGCAGTATGAATAGGTCGGATTACTTATGCGACATGTCCCCTAGTACTTATACGAAGAGTTCCTATATTACTCCTGTGGATGCATTGCACCTCAGTCAACAGTGGAAGGTAAGATTGAAAACACTTCGTTTAACCGAAAAAAAAAAAGAGTAAATTCATTACTGAACCAAAAAAAAAGGCGATCAGCTAAACTACTTATACCTCTGCGCTTTAATGCGTGAAAGATTAAGCTTTAAGCTCACTCAGACAACTTGAAAAGTAAGGGAGGGACGTTGCTCAATTAGGAACAACAGAAAGAATATGATGACAGGAAGTCAGATAATGTGGAAAAGGAACCAGTGGGGAATATTTGACCTTTCAAACTAATGAAACATGATAAGTGTGGGGCAGAGAAATCCAGACTTTGCGAAATTTGGTTATTGATTAACACTGATAAAAGTTTCGGACGAAATATTTACTTTACCACCTTCGATCATTTGGTATGAAGCTATCTGATGATGCTTGGAGGTCAGCGTTAGTTTGCTACTGAATTATACACTGATTTTAATAGCATCAGATAGAATGCGATATAGATCAACTTCAGAAGCAGCAATAAAGACTTCATGAGGTGATTCATTGATTTGTTTTTGTAGTAAAACTGCATAGATCACCGTCTTGCTCAGTTTAGAATTGTTGTGGTTTTAATGCCCAGTTATAGCTAAGGAGATTAATGAGTTAAAATTGAGGAATTAAAAGTTACGACATCTTTATTTGCTTGGAAAATTACAAACAGAAATTTGCATTGTCAAGAGAGTTTTTATTGATGGACGGTTGGTGGGATTTTGGACGTCGAACATGATATCAAGTCTTTGTTATCCCAACTTTGTTGCCAAGCGAAAGGATCTGAATCCATGGAAAAGTCGCCTTCTTATTACCATCGTAAATTAATGGCGTATAACTGTTTCGATGTCTTTATTGGAAAACATATCCTATAAAGAAAAATACTAAGTTCAGCATTAGCTCGAACTTCATTTGAGGATCGGAGGGAATATAGTCTAAAAGTTCAATAATTTTTAAGAAACCGAATCATACGACATTAAAATTGATATATATTGATTTAATTGACATCTGTACATGTGTAGATGCTGACTGTAGCTGTCCACTAATGAAGAGAAACTTTTTGCCTGAGCATGTATTATTGGATGAAAAAGCGGTTTAGATAAGAGGATCGGAAGGATGATTACCTCCTTTAATAACAGCAATTTAATGAATTATGTAAAATCAGTCTGAAAACATCCTAATGAAAATGTTTAATTTTTGTCGGTTCTACAATATAGATTCTTGCAGATTGAGAACTTCACGACTCTTGTGAAACTTGCGCTACCAGGTAACTGCTTACGGACAGGTCTGTTCCGTCACCCACAACTTCCAGAAGCTTTCTGGCAGTTGTGTTTGTATCCAGGAGGAAAGCGAGCTGAGAATGCAAATAACGTTTCGTTGTTCCTGAAAATGTCTTCTACATCACCAACGAAAGAGGTACGTATTGTTCTGAGATCCGTAAAAGACATCTGTGAATTATATGGGAAGTTATCCGTTTACCATTTTATCATTTCCAGTGGATTCTTTCATTTTCATTCATTTTCATTGCTCTGCGATCCGATGGAATTTCATGGGAAAGAAGTAGCTTTGTTTCAATATTATAGTTTCTGTCCAGGTACGCATTAAAGTGGAATATCGGTTTCATTTTTTAAACGACAAAGGGGTGGCGCTGTTCAGCAATGTCAACGTTGGCGAATTTCATGCTAAACCTCCGAAAGGTGGACATTCCTGGGGTCTGCGCAATATCCCCAAACAGAAGGTTATGAATTTTTATTCGTAATTAATCAATAAACAGAAGTTGAACTTATTTTTAAAGGAGTGTCATTTGCTTCATGGATGCAATTTATGAAGTTTGCAAGGAGAAAAGAAAGCTGTAATATGAAGAACTTATGAAGTAACTGAACTTATGAAATAACAGCAGAGCATTGCTACTTTGGTGAAGGCGTGTAGGAACTACAGCAGTTACCAATCATTTTTTATGCTTAAATAAAAAATAATATAAACAAAACTTATGGAGCCCTCTTTGCATTTTACATTCTCCGTTTTGGAACAAAAGATTTCTTGTATATTGACATTGAGAGAAGCCACTCTGAGAGCAAATCACGAATAAAGAAACTAAACGTTTTAAATAGTGCTAGTATTTTGATAGTCTGAATGTCATTTTTCCTTCGTTTTCGCTTTGTCACTTTGCAGGTCGAACGATGATAATGAAAATTTTGACGGCAAGATAATTTTCGAGATATTTAGATTTTGAACTGCGTGCGAGATGATGGTTCACTTGTTATATCATGCCATATTGAATTGTTGCCGGATATCAATCGTACTCAGTGTTACAATTCTTGGAAATTGCTGAACACAAATGCTCGAACGGTAGGTAGTTTTGGCATTTCCTGAATCACTTGGTCCTTGATTATAATTCTTTCGTCATTCACATCCGATTTAGGTAAGCGGTGATTTTGTGAAGCGGCAGTTAGCAGCATTCGATAATGGTTTTATGGCTGACTGCGTTTTGGAATGTTCCGGAAGACAGATTCCTGTTAACAAATTTGTTTTATCAGCTCACTCAGAGGTAAGCTTCTCACACATTCCGCTAGAAATGGACTAAATCATTCCCTAAGCAAAGAGATATTTAATATATTGATAGAATGAAAAAAGAACGATATTTTTTAAACGTTAGGATCTGGAGAGATAATGTCATATATTGCAGGTGTTTAAAGCGATGTTTTCATATGACCAGTTAATAGAAAGTACAGAGAAGAAAGTCATTATTGAAGATGCTGAATATGAAGCTGTTAGGTATTCAATCATTCTTGTTTTTGTTATCATGTAAAATTGGTAATAAGCTCACTTCTTATGTCATAAAATCATTTTTATTCTTCGTTTTCTAATCATGTATTCCATTTTTGTCCGTCGACTTACTACAATCTACTTTTTGCTGTTTTACCATTTTGTAATATTTATTTGAGGAAAGTGCTAGGTTGTCTTCGACCATCTTACGGAATTTTTTTAGGTGTATGTTGCGATATATGTACACGGGGGAAATGGAACTGGATACCGAAGTAGCGAACGTATTGATATTAGCAGAAAGATACCAAATGGATGACCTTAAACTGATCTGCGAACGAAAACTTTGCAATCAGATTGATAAAAATAATGTCGGGGAGATGCTATACTTGGCCGACCTGTATAATTGTAAAATACTTCGAAGAGCTGTAGTTGATTTGGTAAGTTCGTGAATGACTTTAGAACCACGTCTTCCCTTCTCCATATATACACACCTGAAGAATTTCCTGCTTGGCTTGCAAATTCATTTGGATACTTACTCCGCTTTGTTCTCTGTTATTGCATTCTTTCTTTTTTTTTTTAAATGTAATCCACATCCATTTCTTATGCTCTGTTGCTTTTTTGCTTTTTTGATTGCTTCAAATTCTAGTCAGTTCCCAACTTTTTTCATCTTTTCTACTCTTGCTTTTAATAAATATGCTTTACGATAGTATTACATTACTAAGGCCATTCAAATTGAATAGTTGCAGCTACGCACCAATCATTCCGTGTTGGCGTCACACGCCTGGCGATTACTGAAAGAGACAAATCCACATCTTGTCACAGAGGTGATGGAGAAAGCGATGTTTGGTGAAGAATCCCCACCACTCAAGCGACAACGTCACCAGAAAATACTCCTTTCACAACCTTCGGATGATGAATCTGTTTAAAAAGTTCTTCGCGTCATCATCTTGAGTGCACTGTGAACATTCTGCAGTCAGCCTTTTCGTGTTGTCTGCAGTAGACAGTGTACGTCAGTTCCCAACGTTCGTTAACTTAAGTAGGCTTTTCTCTTGTAGAACAGTGGCAACTCTTCCGTAATCCAATCTTTCGTTTCATGTCATAGACCATCTGATTTATTGGGATTCTTCTAGCTTTTGTGATTCCTTTATCCGAGTTATCTTGCAATATTGAAACGAACTAACTGTACGGAAATCATTCAAAGCGCCACTCCACCCAATTAGTGCTTTGTATAGCACTTAGTTGTACCTCCCATTTTTCATCGGAGGATGATTAGAAGCTAAAAACTTCGCTGATTCTAGTCAGCACTTTTTTTTCGGGAAGGATTATTTCTTTACAAGTTTTATGGGTATTCCAGTTTTATTTCACTAATATTTAATGAACAAAATAAATATGAGTGAGAACTATTAAACACAAATATTTATAAAGTTATAAATTTTCACAGAAAGAAATGTAAAGAACTATTGATGTAGACCCTATTGGGTCATGATTACACAGCATCACGATCAGAAAATTTTCACAAAAAGTAACAATGAATGAGCGCAAGACGTTATTTGTCGCTTATCGCCAGCTTCTAGATGAACTACCCGATCCGTAACTACTGCTTCCTGTATAACCGCCCCCACCATACATGTCTCCGGAACGACTACCATATCCACCGGATGATGGGAAATCATCGAACAAGCTTCGTGTTCGCCCCGCATATGGGTCATCATTGTAGTAACCTTTACGACTTATCGGCTCGTCGTCCCATCGACCGTAGGATGATCGATATGGATGCGAACGATAGTCCCTCATTCCAGAATAACGAACGGGTTCCGATTCCTGCTTTTTTGGACGAGGTATACTGACATAAATACTCTTACCGGCGCAAACGAAATCACGGATTTGACAAAGCCGTTTAACTACTTTCGGGTCATTCAGCGATACGTACGCAAAACCACGGCATGGTTTAGGTAGGAACACTCGCTCAACCTGGAATGAATCTTTCAAGTGTTTTTGTTTTCCAAATATATTAGCAAAGAGAACATGTAGGTTGCAGCATCAACGTTAAGAAGAGCTATATCTCGTTACAAGCAAATTAAGAAAAGAGTCCTTCAGCTCTGCTTTCATGTCTTGGTTTTTTGGGCTAAACCTTATCCTCATTTGCATGGAACAAACCTTTACTTCTAACTTCCTCCTCTACATTCCACTTTTCCTCTTGAAATTACAAAAATGTGTTGCACCCAAACATTATAAACACGAACCCTTAACTGAAAGAGGGGAGAAAAGTAAGAAGAGATCTTACATTTGTGGACACTGATCAAAATACCTTGGCAAGTGGCGATATTTTCTTCGCTTCTTCATCGAACAATTTGTGAAGATCTGTTTCCGTAATCTCAGCATAGACCCGGCCGACATAGATTTTCGTTGTGATTCGGTCATCCTGGTCTCCGCCATCCTGTCCATGATCCGGATATTTTACCTGGAAGACTTTTTATGTCTACACAGAAGCATAACGACGAAAGTCAGAAACAAAATTACCACTGACTTGGGCCATGCGACCGTCAATGTAGAAATCGCCTTCCTTTAGCACTTTTTCTTGGTCCTCCAAAGTTTTCATCTTGATAAAACCATAGCCTCTAGGAAGACCTGTTCTGTAATCTTTCTTCACCTGAAAAAACTTCTACCAATAATGTTATAGCAATATATCTCCATAACCACCGATTTTTTTGTTCAGAAAAAGCAATTTTTGCCAAATTTTCAGATAAAAAAGAAACAACATAGTGATCCAGAGCACCACACCATAGGTCTTAACCCAGATCACGCCCACCTGCACCGACAGGCCATGATATTATCCACCGACCTCCTTTCCCTCCTTCCCACTAATAGTTATCTGATAATAGCTAAGTTGTCAGTGTGATATAAACTACTGAAATATAGTTCCGAAAGGTATGCAACAGAACCAAAGAAAGAAAACGTCAAAATCAAATTACGAAAAAAGCAATCATTTGTGCTGATATGTAAATTCAAGAATAGAACCTCAGCGTATTGCACTTCACCGTACTGCTCGAAAAACTTTTTGAGCTGTTCCTCAGTAGTTTTGAATGATAGATTGCGGACGAATAGATCAACGGGCATGTTTAATCGATCAGTCTGTCCGCACTGTCCTTCCAGTCTGTCACTCGACGATAACGCTAAAACATCCAGCTGAACGTGTCAACAGCATAAATAAAGCGTCAATATGTGAGATGGAACAGAAACCGAACTGCCACTGATGCTGCTACTACCACTTCACCGGGGTGTGTCATTCTGAATCCCAGAAAGAGGGAGGACGAACTTTTACAAAACTTACAATCATCGATGATCGCTACATAGCGATGACCATGCCAACCTCCTTTCGGCGCCAACACACATTTTTTTCCCTCATCCACTCTGCAAAAGGATGTAATAAAAAACCTGATAACGGCTCTAAGTCAATGTGCTAGACCTTATGGTTTCTGCACTACAGTGGGAGAACACATGAAAACCAAAGAATTACTTACGGGAGACTACGGAATAGGCCTGTTGCGGGATTCTTGTACTTCAATCCGACTGCTTTCGGAAAAGAATGCGACAACGTGGAACATGGCAAGGTGCCATCGGATGCAAGAGGCAGCTCGAGTGGTGTACAGTCTTCATCTTCGGTAGCACAAACACACACATGATCCACTTCCTCACCATCTGCCGGAGCTTAACAATAAAAATAATTATACAATTCTTCACTTCAAACTTTGCCGTCCCCAGTTCAACTCACAACTGTAAAACAGTCGATTCTGGAGATGCCTGTTTACTATGCCTTCAGCTCGTGGGGAAAGGATGAGACATGCACAAATGCACACCTACCTGATACAGCTTGGTCATTCTCCTGTTCACCACCATCGTTTTCCTTCGTCTCAACACGTTCCTCTTCCTCTTCTTCTTCTTCACGTGGTGGTACATCAACGTCACTCATTTTCCAGTCTAAAATTTATGCAAAAAACGTAGTCTGATTTATTCCCCAACATACGCTATGAGGGACTCAGCAACAAGACTATGACATCACTGAATTTTTCTGCATATTTCTATATCATAAACAGTCCCGCACCTTCACGTATTATAACTAAATTCATTATCCAAATAAAATAAGCAGTAAAATAAAGGGTGATTTGAATAAGTATCAACTGTAACAAAACCAAGTTATGGTACTTCAGCAGCGAGCATCACCACCATTACCCAGAGTACCACAAAGTTACAGGACCACACTGCAACCACCCAACCAACAGCATGGAGTGTCTTTCTGGTCCACATTTTGTCATTTCGCGGCCCTTGACCCGCTATGAAAAATGAGAGGTCAGGGTAGTGGATGATTGAGAAGTGTGATGTGAGACGGAATTGTCCAGCATATCGCTTTGTTTAGCTAATACTTTTTAATTTATTAAGAAAGACTATACTAAGATTCCATTTTTTTTTCTGGCGAAAAGATGATAGCATTAATGCTAAAATGAGGGATATAGAAACTCTTTTTTGATCTAACAGTGATTAATGTATATATAAATGTATATGTAAAAAATACGCATGTTTACAGAGAATATGGAAAATGGAAAAGGATTAAATACCCGAAAATCCCTTTCATAATATCTATTACATGTTGTTCCTGTCATTTACATTACTCCTTGAACACTTTTTAGCGGAAAACACAATTCAGCACAAGAAACATACTTATTGGTAGTCCAATTCTTGGATTTTTGGGATAGTTTTCTCAACAATAATTTATTGGTAATTATTGAAAGGCAAAAGTTATTGTGTCGAAATTTCGGAAGTACAGTCATTCATCTAATGCCTTAAGTTTAATTTTATACGAAAGATAGGCTGCAGACCACGTAACAGGGTAACAGTGAAGCCTGCGGTTTTGACTTCGATCAACGATAAACATTAATGAAATGGGGGAAATTTTCTTTTTTAAATGAACTGCAATAAATATGCACAGGAATTAATGCTATTTATAATGTTAGTTTGGTTTCCAACTGAGAATCCGAATTGATTTGACTTGAATTAATCAAATAAATTTGAATTGATTCAGTTCGTGTTAGTTAAACGAATTTGGTTTGGTTTGACTTGAGTTAGGCTAAGTTGAGCAAGATCTAACCATATACTTACTCGGATTCCAGGGATTGAAACATACATTTCATTCCGTCCTTGAAGGGTAGTAACCGGTTGCGAGTGAGAACAGTGATGGTCATTGATGGTTATTCAGTGCTGTTCCTTTTTACTGTTGGCGTACTGGTATGTTCTTATCCACATATTTCACTGGATCTGGTAGAGCAATAATGCGTGGTATTATCCTCTACTCTCACTTTTGATACTTTTTATAGTCTTTCTATTGGTCTAGCATAGTGATTCCCAACCTTTCTTTGGCCAGAGACCACTTTGGTTTTCTATTTCTAAAGGGGACCAAAGTTCAAAAGTAGTGAATTCTGTTATTTTGGAAATAAACTTTAGTCAGGACTCTCAGCATATTGGTTAAACTTAGACTAACATTATAATATGGAAGAGAAGGAAGATAATTTTTAATAGTCCTCGCGAATCATCGCTTGGAAACTATTGGACTCTAGCGCCATGACCACTGTTTGTTGAATCGCTGAGGCGTTTGATAGTTAGACTGTTCGAGTGATTGCTTTCTGAATTACGTAAATGAATGTTTAATTTATTTGGCTGCTGGATAAAACTTTAAGGAATGGAAAATGAAAATGATAGTCGTCGAAATTATAGATTACTATCATTTTGGCGATATTTGTACAACGGCAGATATTCCGGATGCGTGATAACAGTGTACGACGGGAAGCCAATATTGTCGTTGGTGCGGGTTTGTCAAAGGTATTCATCCGTTCAGTTGTTCCCTTTCTTGCTTCCATCAGCGGGTCCCTCTTCTGGTAATAAAAGACAAAACAGCTATCGGTGTATTACTTCCAGCGATGTAAGCTGGCGTTGGGCAGGTTTTGATACTCAAGTGCTTCATGTCCTGCTTGGTTGCTTAATTACAGAAATGGGAGAGAATAGCACGAGAATGGTTAAATAGTGATTTATCCATCCATTTGTCTTTTTACAGTTCCGAAAAACATTTCATGCATCTGATTTGTATTTAGCGCAAAAAGGAGGAACTTGATCGAGGCATTGAAATTGTTCGACAGTTTCAACTTCTCCGTGCTCCAAAGTTTACCGAAATTGGAACTATTGCGGAACGTAAGTTTTTTCTCGATATGTTGATCCTGATTATTGCTGCTTATTCTCCAATAGCGGAAGAGATCTTTTTTTTGAGTGGGTCTTTTTCTTTTTCCATTTCATTCACCTCTCCAAAAGTGGTAAAATGATAAAATCACTTTATCAGTGATAAAATTTTTTACTGCCCCAAGTAAATTAGGTTGATTTTAGATGCCGGTGCACCATATATCAACCGAATGATTGCCATGGACGAGTTGCGAGAAATTGGTAACTTTCTGGTATGATTAGGGTCACCAATCTTTACATTTAGTGAGTCTTGCGTTAGTCTTTCTGGTTTGCTTTATTGTTATCATCACGCCTTATTACTTACCCAGATAGCATCATCAGTAACGGAAGGTACACAGACAGGTTGTGCTTGTATGTGTGGTATATGTAGATTGTAATGGAGCTTCAAGTTGGAAAAAATGGCACAAAATACCAACCTACATTTAAAAAACTTTGTCTTTAATTATGTCATCTTTTTATGTGCAATTCGTCGCGTATTGAAAAAAAATCGGGTCAAATTTGGTTAGAATGAATACTTAGTTTTCTGGATTTTCGTCTAAAGAGTAATGCGGCTTCAGTCAGATATCTTCAACTGTTAAGATTCCAGAGCGACAGTTAGAGTTCATAAATGGTGACCTTGGTCGCGTAGCAGGCGAATCGATGTATGCTTATTTGTCTCGAATCCGTCAAATAGCATTACCTTCGTTATCAGAACACCTCTGTGAACGAATCGGTTTGGTGGCAGAACACTGCAGGTATCGACATGAGGTCAGGACATGTTTTTGCCCTTCTCTGTGCAGTATTTTCCAGATTTCATTAACAAAAAGTTATATTGCTGCTATCATTCATAGTTGTACAGATATTTACAGAGACATTTCCTAGGCCTACGATTTATTTAAAAGGAAATATTTCAGCCTTTCGGTGAATCAGAACTAACCGAAACTCGTATGCTTATCAAAGAAATTGTGAAAATGTAAGTTGCAATATCTTCTGGTGAAGCTTTCCAAACGGTTCAGTGACGAAACTACATTGACTGGATATTTCAGATTAAATAATGAACAGGAACGCCTCTCAGCACTTCATATCAAAGAATCAACCAGCTCAGCGTTACAAGAAATTACTAAAAGGTATAATATAGATTTTGTTGATTCTCCTTCATTATTCACCGCTGTAGCTCTGTTCTGATAATTCTGGCGCATCTTATTCAGGTTAACAACAGGAGAAAATAAGAAAGGGATGCACAAAAGGAACACAGCCATGAACGCGAGTCGAAATGCTTTACTGACATCTGATAAGGTTCCTCAGTGAATATTCCGCTGTTTAACCTAACTGAATTTGAATTTGTCGTTGCCTCCCACTTTCTATTTTTCTGAGATGTCATATATTAAGCGGTTTTCAGAATGAGACGAGATTAGCAAGAGCAGGAGATGATCAGAGGAAACCACTGATAGCTGATGATAAGGCGATTAGTGGTACACCTGCACTTCATATCTTGAGCTCTCGTGTGACTACTGCCGATACTCAAAATACACAATCCTTGGAGTGCACTCCGCTTATCACATGAATTTCTGCATTCATAAACAATGGCACACGATGAAAGGAGAGAGGAGTGAAGAAAATTGTCAAAAAACATAGAAATTGTGAAGTGCGAGGAGGCTTAAGGAAGATGCAAAGTGGGATTACAGATTGTAGTTAAGTACAGATATACTGCACAAACACTTCCTGCCTTATTCACTATTAGGTTTTTTCTTTGGATCGGAGGCTTTTTTCAAGGAAGATGCCACTCCATCTAGTTATTTTTAAAGTTGAAAATATTCAAAATGTATATTTATTTGTATATGTGATGCTTGTTTTGCGGGTTTTCTCATCTTCCTCTTTTTGAACATTTTAATAAAAAAAGCACAGGAATAGTAAGAAGTACCACAAGATCAGCGTGTGAAAACTTAACTTTAATCACAGTACTAGTGTGATAACCGACAAATCTCTTCAATGATCCTGGTAGACTGAACAGTTTTAATTTTATGATTTGCTCTCATGTTTGTTGTGGGTTTTGAATTCTATGATCAATTACTGATTGACTTTGAAACGAGAAACATTTTGGGAAATTTGACATTCATCCCAGCCAGAAAAATCAATACCTTTTTTCTAGCCAACTGCATATCGTGTTGAAGGAAAGAGTGTTGTCACTTTGCTAGTAATGTCGGGATAGCAGTCGACTGTGCCAGAATGCACGTCTTTTTTAACCTTCACCATGATAATACACTGCAAACTGGTAAATTAGTTGAAACTTCCTTATTAATTTTGCGATTCAGATAACAAGACTCTTCTCCAACACTGTCTAACTTCAACTGTATAGTGACGTGTCCGCATAAAATGAAGGAAGACATTTGGTCTTCCTAGTTAACTTATCGGACATGGTAAATGTAACTTACTCGTATCCATGCCATTTTTTTTCCATGCATTGCATCGCGTTTTTCCTTCCTCTGCATCATAATTCCTATTCGGTTTATAAGAAGGGATATGTCTCATAGGCTTTCGATGCTTGTTTTGATTAGCTAGACCCGTTCGCGGCAATGATATAGCTATGGAATCATCCGACATCCAGAATTTGTCTTTTTGCAATGGCTCTGCAATTTTCTATCTTGAAAAAAGGATGAAGATATTGACTACAGATGGATAATACTTTGACATTATTATGTATTATGTAATAAATCATATGGAAATGGACCGTAATCGTTCATCTGAAGTCGATCAACGATGGCGAAAGATATGCCAACGTTACGCTCGAAGATGTAGTCGAGCTCGAAATCGTCATCATCCATACCAAAGGGGTGCATCAGGTCTTGTCCCACCTGAACTAAACATTAAGTAGTTGTTATAAACAAAGTTTCAATTAAACTAACAATGGTTATGTAAAGGAGAAATATTTCCAGAAATGTGACATGTCGCTTACTTTGAACCAACCGACGAAAAAGAGGAACTGAACGATTGTAAATATGGGAATAACGAGATCCATCTCATGATCTCGGTATTTCTTCGACGGATCCAGATACTGTCTGCCTATGAGGCAAAAGCCAAAATATGCATAAGTGGCTAGCGCTGCTACCTTCAACCATCAATATCTTCAATTCTTCATAGCAAATTTATCATTTTATTACCTTCCAAAAGATTTCTATCTCTACATTTATTCACTTGGTACAAATATTTTCATCATTCATGAAAAAAAAGTACCTGAGTATAAACTAATGGTACGTTCACCCAGTCATAGGAGAATAGTTTGCGGAAGGCCGTTCGATAGGCCTTTAATTCTTGCATGAAATGATTCAAGAGAGCCTGAGGAGGTGCGTTATCATTGAATTCATCCATGACAATTTGCTGCACCCAATGAAGTGGTATCATCCATTGTACATTTTTAATTTCTTTCTGCAATAGATGGCTACAAGTTACAAGCCTCTTCTCTAAATATTGAATTCAACCTATCTAAAAATGTTCAACCAGTCAAATCGCCATGCAGGAAAGAGGATAAGTAATACCAACCGAGATTTCCTTCAACAATTTCAATTCCGTATCGGTGAGTAGTCCACTCTCCACCAAATGTGACAACGACGGGAAACGACGTCGAATCGTGCTAGATATTTCACGACTAAAATATTGGTGTACTTGATTGATGGAATTCTAGCAACCTGTAATACCAAAAGTAATCAAATAGTATAAGTACTAACTAGACAAGTGCCGCCATCAGGTTGACATATCGAGCGATAGTATGTCTCCGTTGTTGGCTCTTAACATCATTACCCGGTATTACCGTACATAATAGCGACAATAAGTCTTCTGGCCAAGGTATACATTCAAACTGTCGCCACCATCTGAAAGTCTACACACAAATCCTTAATAAAGAAAAGACTGACGTTTGCTACAAAGGACAGTTTCAGATAATATAAAAAACTTTACTAATTCTCTGGTAAACATATGGAGGAAGCTCAAGCTAATAACATCAATCAACTCCTAGATCATCTTCCGGCAATAAATATTCCCAATTGATGAGAATGAGAGAAACATTCATTATGTACCTGACGACTACATTGGATACATAGAATCCTAATAAGAATGTAAGAGGTATTTGCTTCGTGTACTGATCCATCATCATTGCAATTCGTTCAAATTCAACCCTAAATTAATAAAAGTTAACAGAGTTACCGGTAGCTACCAGTAATTTCACTACAATCTAACCTAAGTATAACCAATTAATTACCTGTATTTCTCAGGATTTTCTTTATCTATCATTGGTAATATTTGATTGTAGAAGAGTCGAATAATGTAATAAAGGATGAGGAAGATGAACAGCTCTCTCCAAACTAATCTCCATAAACTTCCTTTCCATCGAATTAAAAGACGACAGAAGTTACCCGTGTATGAAATTGTCATTATACTATAGTGACTATTGTTACTTTATGTTCAATTCAAACACTTTTATCGTATTGATCGATCTGTATCGGGAAAGGAAGAAGTGAAGAAGAGAAAGAAAAAAGTAATGCTGTTGTTGTTATTGTTGTCGTTGTTGTTGTTGTTGTTGTTGTATTGTCATGCCATAGCTGAGTCACCCTGTTCCAATCGTAATCTATGAGCAACAAACTATCGATCAATATTGAAATGTCAACAGTGGTGACATGCAGCAGCTATCCCCCTCCTCTATGACATATTTGTAATGACTGAAACTGTGTTTACGATTTAAAAATTTGAAGTATATATAAGTTATGAATGCAACTGTAAGCATTCATACTCGTTTTGTGTTGCTTGACGAAGATACTAAATTATTGCAATATGATGGAACTTAAATTGGCGGGATTTTTTAAACCAGTTGTTAAATTTATAGTTTGATAATACAGCATTTCAATTGTTTTCAGTCATTCAATAGAGACAGTCCACACTTTATATCATTCAATGTTTTTTTTTTCAGATGTTGATCAAAGTAGTAAACAAATATTTATCGTATAATTCATCATAGTAGCTGTATGGATAATAATGTGATAGCTTTTGTCCTCGACAAATCATTAGTATGAGTTTGAATGGAAAAAAAAAGAAAAGAAAAGAAAGAGCAAAAGGATGTCTCTTTTTGTCACATAAATCATAGTTTAATGTATGGCAAATAAGGATGAAATAGAAATTATCATAGTTTCATTTACAGCTATCTTCAATGAATCCATACACAATATTATTTGATAAGCTGATTTGATATTCAATTTTACTTTTCAATATTTTATTCTTCACAAATAAACATCGTTATAATAAGTCAATCATAGAATAGAGAAGGTAGAAGGGGAAGAGTTATCAACACATGCATTTTATCAATATCAATACTGATAGTGAAATGTTATACTAAAGTCTATTGATTGAATCAATTTAGACATGTGCTAGGGGTTATTCAAAAAAACTTTTTTGGATTACTCATTTAGTTATTTGGTACTCACAAAAATTCATCAGGAGGTAAAAATGATATTTGACCTCTATCTTAAACCTACTATATATCACTTCATGATATATTACATGACCTTTTTTTGTCCGCAGCATGCTTTCTGGCCAGTAGTTCAATAGCCTTAACTTCAATATCACCGTAGCCACTTCTTCGAGTGTTTGGCATCGATTGACGGCGTCTTTTCATTTCCCCCGGATGAAAATTCCCAGTCTCACTCAAGATATGCCGAAATATTTCGGTTACCTATAAAAGATGACCATTTGCAGAGAACCATCTCATTTAACTTACCTTTCTGAGATACGAGAAAAGCAATCAATTTGAATAATGGTGGAAAATAATCAATAAGTTAAAAGAAATAACTTTAAGTAATGAAATTTCTAGCATTTCCCAATACTAGTAAATTTGTCTATATCCTTTCGAGACAAAATCATAAAAGTTATGAAACATGAGAGAAGGGAGGCAGAAAGTTACCTGATAAAGATTAGTAGCAGAAAGAGCAGCAAAATGAAGCTTATTCTCGAACGCATAAATTCTCGATCCTTTTGCTGCCCATTGCTCCTCACATTCATACAAATCGATCTTATTGGCAACCAGAAGTATCGGGGCTTTTTTGATATTTCGTACTTGGACCTCTTTAACGATATCTTTAGCTTCATCCAACGATATTGGATCATCCACTGCAAATACAACCTAAAATTTAATTCAGTTATATGTATGGAGAAATAAAATAAAATTGTAAGAAAGAATGAAATGAAATTATATGTAAAATTGATTATATAGGCCAAAATTAATTAACAACTCTTCCTTCATTATCAAATACAATTCGTCCTATTTGTGATTTCAAAGTTGACTAATCTTATTTAATTGAAATTTATATTGAAACTGTACTCTTCAAGTAAGTTGTTTAACTAGAAATAAGAAACGTACAACAAAAGCATCACCAATCCTTGCATACAAATGTCTCATAGCCAGGAAATCGCGGGAACCACTAGAATCGATTACCTAAAATGAATCCATCTATTTATCAATCAAAAAACATGATCAAAAAATAATGAAAAGTGGAATTTTCCTAAAATTTGCTTATAATTAATCAAATAATTGTACCTGTAGAAGTGTCGTGTCACCGTCATCTTTCTTATACTCAATCCAATTGAATTCTTCT